TCTGAGAGCGCTTGTGCTAATTACTTTCCTTTGTTAATTAAACCCACGTGGCTCTAATAAGGTAACCTGCTGTTCTCTGATAAATTTAATTAGCCTGAAGGGAGAGCCCCTCCGCACAGCTATTTAAATTGTCACTCTCCATCGCTTGGGCTTTGCTTCTTTCTGCCTCCCCCTCTCTGTGGGCTCCCAGACCTCTCCTGCCCCTTCGCTTCCCATTTTCTGCCCCTTTCCTTCAGCAGAGGAGGGCACCAAGGGGAGGTCCCCCCTGCCCTACAGCAGCAGGATGCCACCCAAGGGTGCTGCGCCCACCCAAAGCCCCGTTTTCCTGCCAGTGCCACATACCCCCCACCCCAGACGGACCCTCGCCCCGTCCCAGCGGCGGTCCCAACCTTGACGACCGGCTCCAGCCCCAAAGGACTGTCCCTTCTCCAGCCCCTGTGCCCTGCTCACAGCACCCGGCGTCACTCCTGGGGTGCCACCTCCCCATCCCAAACGCTGCCCCAAGGAGCAGGGGCACACAGTGACCTTCTCCCCCCGGTCCAAAGGAGCCAGCCATTCCCACCAGGTCACTGGGACTGCAACACCCCCCCCCCAAAAAGCCCCCCAAGAAACTTCTTCAGGTTTAGAGGGGATTTAACCCTTTGTGGGGTCCTGGCGTGCTCTGGCCATCCCGAAGACGGACGCAACGTGTGTTTGCCCGTGCACCTTCCCACAGCACCCGTTTGCAGCCGAGCCCTTCCCGAAAAGGGGGTGATGGGGGACACACACGCACGTCCTCGGGGCTCACCTGCACCGCCGGCTGCTTGCTCTCATTGCTGCTGGGGGAGCTCAGCCCCGTGGCCTGCTGCAGCAGGAACTGGCGTGCCACCTGGAGAGCCTGCAAAAGAGACACAGCGAGGTGGGCAGGAGGAAGGCCACCCTCCTCCTCCTCCTCCTCCAGGCACGCTCCCCCTGCAGCCCCCCGGAGCAGCACCCAGCCTTGGGGCCAGCCCGACCGGTTCTCCATGGCTTTGATTCACGGGGTGCGAGAGGTGCACGAGGAGGGCAGCGCTCCCCGAAGCTCCCTCCTGCCACACCAGTATGACCAGTACGACCCATCACACACCACCGTTCTCCCCAGAGGGCCACAGGGACCCAGGGCCAGTCCCATCCTCTTCCAAAACACCCTGCTCCATCTTCAGCAAGTCACCAGGTCCAGCATCTCCGTGCCCCTGGCAGGTTTTCACACGGGTCATCCTCCGCCTCCCCACGCCCCAGCCCCAGCTCAGCCGTCCCCTGGCACAACCAGCACCCAACCCACGGTCCGGCGGAGCGGTCGGCTCCCGGCTGGTTTATTCCTTCCTTTCCTCCCCACGCCCCAGCCCCAGCTCAGCCGTCCCCTGGCACAACCAGCACCCAACCCACGGTCCGGCGGAGCGGTCGGCTCCCGGCTGGTTTATTCCACCCTTGCACAGAGCCACCGCCACCCTTCTGCTGCAGCCGACATCCCTTCTGGCTAACGCTCCCACGTATCTGACAGTGATGCGGGAGGAGTTCAGCAGCTGACACCAGTGATCGAGATGAAACCCGCTTATTTTTCTGGGTGTTGCCTAGAAAGAGTTCGGAGTTTCCCTAACTCGTTCGCAGGGATGAAGGCGTCTCGCGGGAAAGCTGCACAACGGGCAAAGGAGGAAGAAACCAACACAAAAGCCATAAAAAAGACTCGTGGAAACACACGCGGGCACGAGCAGCCGTGGGCGAGCCAAGCACAGC